GTAGTGGTTGTCGGCCGGAAAGTATAATGATAAGGTGTGAATGTTTATGCAGTAGTGATATGATGACGATGATGATGGTGTCACCTGCAACATGAAATCATTTTAAGGTTTCACATCGTTTGTCAGATTTCAATAGTTTACGTTTCTTTTTCTCTATAAACAAATTAATGTTTAAATTTAAGTTAATAATTGTTTACAACACAAAAGTTTATTATAATTCCCTAGAAATGCATTTTTTTCTATATTTAAAATAAAAACTTAAAAAATATTGAAATAGATAAATAAATGTTTTTTTTTTTTGATGGATTTGCTTTGAGAGGGGATTTTCTATAAAATTGTTATATAAAGGTAATTTTTAATAAATATGCTATTTATGGGAAATTTTTAATATCGTATTTGAAGAAAATTTTCAAAAAAAAATTTCATATTTAGAGCAGATTTTTAGTAAAAGTTTTATTTAGTGAAACTTTATGATAAACTTTTTATAAATTTTTAATTCTAAATAAAACAGCCAACAACATATTCGGTTTTATTTCACTGTCTTTATTTACACATTTATTAAGTATATAATTATTTGATCGGTAAAGCCATTTATATTCCATTATAAACTCAAAAGGTTTCTCCGTTTTTTTTGTCGAGCTTTTAATTTCAAACAATACAAACTAATAGAAAAATAATATAAATACAATAGCGATTTATCACAATAATAAACATAGTTATAGGAAATCTTTAATTAATGATTTGAGCAAAATTCAAAAATAATAAAAATTCAATACTCAATTACAAAATTCAATACACAAATACTAATTAAGGAAGAACCAAAACATTAAACTTAAACATTAATTAAAACAAGCACACTGACTGAATACATATGATTTAAACAAAAACCTTAAATAATTGAACGGTCATTAAACATACGTTAATGTAAAAAATATAATACATTAAATAACAAAAACAAAACTTAATTACAGTTTTATCCAATAATTTTAAAAATAACCTACATACATACATCATTTAAAAGCTTAAATATTTCTCTTTTCATTTTAAAATATCATCATCTATATTTATAGTTTCTTAATCATAAGTTTAATATCTTTTTTTGGTTTCTTTAGTAGTTTTCCATTGTCATAGGTTAGGGGAATTATAGTCTCCTGACACGGAGCAAAGGAGTATCTATTAAGTAGTGTCACTAGGCAAACTAACATTTGTTGTTGTATGAATGTTGGGCCATACACGAACGTGGCCCCATGCCAAATGGTAAAAATGCACATAGTGGTCTGTTTTGTACCTTTGTGGAATGAAAATGATCTGGATCAAATTTTTCCGGTTGCTCATAGTAGGTGGCATCATTGTGTATACCTGCAGTGGGTATAATTAAATGATTGCCTTTGCGTAGCATAAATATAGAATTGGGTAGTTCGTAGTCTTTGGTTGTGAGACGCAAAAGGAATGGATATGGTGAGTGTTTGCGAAGGGTTTCTGAAAAGATGTCGTAGAGATTAATAAACAACTTAAGAGATTTATAGATTTTGTCCTAATACGAATAAAAGAAAATATACTATTTAAAGGGATTTTTGGATAAATTCCCTGTTTAGAGAAAATCTTTTCAAAAATTTCCTATTTAAAGGAATTTTTTGACAATTTTTTTTTTTTCATTTAAGGGAAATTTGGTTTTAATTTCCTTTTTAAAGGAAATTTTTTTAAAATTTCCTATTAGAGAAAATTTTCGATAAATTTTTTTATTTCAAAGGAAATTTTCGGATTAAATTCCTGTTTAAAAGAAATTTTGGATATAAATTTCCTATTTAAAAGAAATTCTAGATAAATTTCCCTTTTAAATTAAATTTTTTGATAAATTTCCAATTTAAAGGAACTTTTGATTAATATCCTATTTAAAGAAAATTTTCGATAAATTTCTCATTTAAAGGAAATTTTCGATAATTTCCCATTTAAAGGAAATTTTCGATAAATTTCCCATTTAAAGGAAATTTTCGATAACTTTCCTAATTAAAAGAAATTTTTAATAAATATCCCTTCCAAAGGAAATTTTTAATAAATTTCCCTTCTAAAGGACAATTTCGATAAACTTTTCTATTTAAAGGAAATTTTCCATTAATTTCCTACATAAAGGGAATTTTCTATAAATTTCCTATTGAAAGATAATTTTCGATAAATTTGCTATTTAAAGGAAATTTTCGATAAATTTCCCATTTTAAAGGAAATTTTCAATAAATTGCCTATTTAAAGAAATTTTTTGATATTAAAATTTTTATTTAAAGAAAATTTTCGATAAATTTCCCATTTAAGGAAATTTTTGATAAATTTCCTAATTTAAGAAATTTTCGATTAAAATTCCTAATTAAAGGAAATTTTCAATAAATTTCCTAATTAAAGGAAATTTTCGATTAAATTTTCTATTTAAAGGAAATTTTCAATAAATTTCATATTTAAGGAAATTTTAATAAATTTTCTACTTAAAGGGAATTTTCAATAAATTAGCTATTAAAGGAAATTTTCGATATAAATTTGCTATATAAAGGAAATTTCCGATAAATTTTCCATTAAAAAATTTTTCGATAAATATCCCATTTAATGATAAATTTCCTATTTAAAGGAACTTTTTGATAATATCCCATTTTAAAGAAAATTTTCGATTAAATTTCTCATTTTAAAGGAAAATTTTTGATAAATTTTCAACTTAAAGGAAAATTTTCGATAAATTTTCCTAATTAAATTAATTTTCAATATATTTCCTTTTTAATGAACTTTTCGATACATTTTTCTAATTAAAGGAAATTTTCAATAAATTTGATATTTAAAGGAAATTTTCAATAAATTAGCTATTTAAAGGAAATTTTTCGATAAATTTTTCTATTAAAAGAAATTTTCGATAAATTTCCCGTTTAATGAAGATTTTCGATAAATTTCCTATTAAAGAAAATTTTTGGATAAATTTTTTATTTTATAGGAATTTGAATAAATTTCTTATTTTAAAGGAATTTTTGAATATATAAACTTCCTTTTTTTAAGGAAATTATCAATATATTTTCCTATTAAGGGAATTTTAAATAAATTTCTATTTAAAAGAAAATTGATAAATTTTCTATTTAAAGAAATGATCGATAAGTTCTTATTTAAAGATTTTTTTTTTGATAAAATTTCCTATTGAAGGATTTTTTTACTAATTAACACCACACTTACCATTTTAAATCTGCTTCAAATACACCATTTCCTTAAACACCCTTCCAGCCGTCCAATTTATTTTGATATTTAGCAAAACATCAGTATCTCGCGTCTTGCCTTTTCCTGTATATCCGGCTGTAAAGCCAATTCATAAAGACAGCACGATACAGTTGTTGTACACGCCTCCAGACCAGCTGGTATGAAATTAAATGCTTGAGCCGCTATCTCGGAACTATCAAGTTTTTTAAACGCCTCCATACTTGTACTTATTTACGAGAATCACTCCACATTTGTAGAAAATCATAGGGTGTTTGTTGTGCGAACGTTGATATTCACGTTCGTATAGTTTATCATTGATAAGTTTCTGAAAATAATTGGTGGCCTCTGGCGAATACAAACGATATTGTAAAAGCCTTGCTAGGCGTGGGAAAGAGAAAGCCCAAATAGGCTTATAGATATTGTTATTTTGTTGTGTATAATTTTTACACATTTTATGAAATTGTGTCTCCTTATAGCGTAGAGAGTCACCTTCTAGACCAAAGGCTAATGAGGAAATGACATCTATGTTGAAACCTTCCACTAGTTGGCTAATGTTGTATACTAAATCTGTTCTCATTTACTTTTTCCTGTAGAGAATTATCAAAAGTTTGCTGTACTTTTAGAAGAGACGAGAATATATTGGTCATTTTCTCGGGCCACTGTAAAGCTTTAGTTTTTAAACTTAAATGCTGCCATTCAATGCCATCCATTTGTAAGAGATTTTGTGTTAAGGGATCATCATGGGTATTGTAATATAAACCTCTATCCATAAAATATTTGGAATCTTTATTTAGAATATAGTTAATGGAATCTATATCTAAAATAAGTAACATAGGTTTAAGCCAAGCATAGAAACCTATAAACGGAGCCTGACCTTTGTACTTTTCATATAGAGTTTGTAATACTTCAGCTACATGGCGTTACGACCGACACCTTTTAAATGACCCCAAGGTTTTTTTAGGTTTTTCATGTAAAATACCACGACGTTTCCAAAACCCAAAGCTACTTTAACCACAAAATACAGAACAGAAGCAGTGCCCACCAAATGTGTAAAATAAACGATGTAATAGTTCCATGTTTTGTTAAAAGGAGAAGGAATGGTTGTTTTAAAAGTCTCTTATAGTTGTTTAGCTAACATTCAGTTAGTTCTTTTTTTAGGTTTTAAAATATTGCACTGTGATGTTTTTATTAATTTCAAAAGACCCATCTACTGGTCATGTATTTTGGGGGGTTTTATGTAAAACTATTTCTTTTCTGTCAAATTAAGTTCAATCAATTTTCTGGGTTTCTTACATTCTTATCATATTCCACAGGTTTTTTTGTTTTATTAGGCTGACTGCATTGTTTAGTTTAATTGTTTTTGAGGTCTTTTAGATGTTATAAATATGTTTGTATAGTTATAAAGTTAAAAATGCTTATCAACTTTTTTATACACTTTTCGATTTAAGTGTTGTTGGTAGAATTTAAATTTGTTCAGGTTTTCGTAAATCTAAAAGAGAAAAAAAGTAAATTTAGTTTGCTTAGGGTAGTTTAGGGTTTATATTCTTAATAAGTATTTCTATAGCTTTTGTTTAGTAAGAATTTGTTAACAGTTCCTTTAATTGTTTATGCTTTATTTGATTAGATTTCTTTTTAAAATCTTAATATTATATGTTTACATTAGTGTGAATATATCATATCTTATTTAAGGTATGGTAAACAGAGATTATAAAAGGAAACTATCCACAAATTCTTTAACATTTTGCCAACGTATATAGCCATCTTTGATTAGATCGTGT